CGTCTCACAGGACGCTTCCCCTCCGATCACAGAGTGCGCCCTCTGTGGCCCGGGCCGATGCCTCATAGACCTTCATGACAAGCTCGACTTCATACCTAGATAATCCGCCTTGCTTGTGGTTCGAGAGCCAGTTCCTCCTCTCCCCATTTTTCCAGGTGATCCCCGCACCTGGAAAGCTCCCCGCCCCCTCCGCTGGGTCTGTGCACACCAACCCTCCGAAGAGAGTCCATGCGCACGTCTCACGGGATGCTCCCCCCTGGATCACAGAGTGCCACCCTCCGTGTTCCGGGCCGGTGCCTCATAGGGTCTCATGACAAGCTTAGACTTCATACCTAGGTAATCCGCCTTGCTTGTGGTTCGAGAGCCAGTTCCTCCTCTCCCCATTTTCCCAGGTGATCCTCCGCACCTGGAGAGCTCCCCGCCCCCTCCGCTGGGGCCTGTGCGCACCAACCCTCCGAAGAGAGTCCATGCGCACGTCTCACGGGACGCTCCCCCCCGGATCACAGAGTGCCGCCCTCCGTGGCCCGGGCCGGTGCCTCATAGGACCTCATGACAAGCTCGACTTCATACCTAGGTAATCCGCCTTGCTTGTGGTTTGAGGGCCAGTTCTCCTCTCCCCGAATTATTACTACGGAAAGGCCTCGGATTACCTTGGCTTACCGACTTTTCAAGCAACCGTCCTACCCAAAGATTAGTGAGAAGAGGTGAAAAGCCACTTCCCCCTAACCTTCTTAGGCTAACCACCTGGATTACGTTGGCTTACCGTCGTTTGGCGCAACCGAGTGACCCTTGCAAAGGTTCGGGGAGAGGTGGAGCACCCCTTCCCCCGGATTCTCTTAGGCCAACCACCCGGATTACGCTGGCTTACCGTCGTTTGGAGCAATCGATTCCCAGATGCCAGGGGTTGGGGAGAGGTGGAGCACCCCTCCCGCCCAGTATTCTTAGGCCAATGACCTGGATTACGTTGGCTTACCGTCGTTTGGGGCAATCGATTTCCCCGTGGCAAGGGTTGGGGAGAGGTAGAGCACTCCTCCCCTCCGTTGTTCTTAGGCCAGTGACCCGGATTACGTTGGCTTACCGTCGTTTGGGGCAATCTATGCCCACATGCCAAGGGTTGGGGAAAGATAGAGCACCCCTCCCCTCCGGTATTCTTAGGCCAATGACCCGGATTACGTTGGGTTACCGTCATTTGGGCAACCGTATGACCCATGCCAGGGGTCGGGGAGAGGTAGAGCACCCCTCCCCTGCAGTATTCTTAGGAAAACCACCTCGATTACGTTGGCTTACCGTCGTTTGGGGCAATCGGTTCCACCATGCCAGGGGTTGGGGAGAGGTAAGGAGCCCCTCCCCTCCGGCATTCTTAGGCCAATGACCTGGATTACGTTGGCTTACCGTCGTTTGGGGCAACCGGATGCCCCGAGCCAAGGGTTGGGGAGAGGTGGAGCACCCCTCCCCTCCTATATTCTTAGGCCAATGACCCCGATTACGTTGGGTTACCATCGTTTGGGGCAATCGGATGGCCCATGCCAAGGGTTGGGGAGAGGTGGAGCACCCCTCCCCCCCCCCCGTGTTCTTAGGCCAATGACCTGGATTACGTTGGGTTACCGTCGTTTGGGGCAATCGGATGGCCCATGCCAAGGGTTGGGGAGAGGTGGAGCACCCCTCCCCCCCCCGTATTCTTAGGCCAATGACCTGGATTACGTTGGGTTACCGTCGTTTGGGGCAATCCGATGGCCCGTGCCAAGGGTTGGGGAGAGGTGGAGCACCCCTCCCCCCCCCGTATTCTTAGGCCAATGACCTGGATTACGTTGGGTTACCGTCGTTTGGGGCAATCGATGGCCCATGCCAAGGGTTGGGGAGAGGTGGAGCACCCCTCCCCCCCCCCGTATTCTTAGGCCAATGACCTGGATTACGTTGGGTTACCGTCGTTTGGGGCAATCGGATGGCTTGTGCCAAGGGTTGGGGAGAGGTAGAGCACCCCTTCCCCCCCGTATTCTTAGGCCAATGACCTGGATTACGTTGGGTTACCGTCGTTTGGGGCAATCCGATGGCCCGTGCCAAGGGTTGGGGAGAGGTAGAGCACCCCTTCCCTCCTGTATTCCTAGGCCAATGACCTGGATTACGTTGGGTTACCGTCGTTTGGGGCAATCAAGTCCCCGGAACCCAAGTGATGGAATCCATCCGGATCGGACCCCGGATGGGTTTGATCGAACCCATTCGGATGGAACCCATCCGGATCTGGATCGATCGAACCCATTCGGATCCGAGTCGATCGAACCCATCCTTATCGAGCCGATCCGGATCCGGATCGATCGAACCCGTGTGGATCAAACCCATCCGGATCCGGATCAATTGAACCCATCCGGATCCGGATCGATCGAACCCATCCGGATCCGAGTCGATCGAACCCATTCGGATAGAACCCATCCCTATCGAGCCCATCCGGATCCGAGTCGATCGAACCCATTCGGATCGAACCCACCCGGGTCCGGATCGATCGAATCCGTCCGGATCCGGATCAAATGAACCCTTTCGGACCCAAGCCCATCCGGATCCGGATCGATCGAACCCATCCGGATCCGAGCCGATCGAACCCATCCGGATCCGAGTCGATCGAACCCATCCGGATCCGGATCGATCGAACCCATCCGGATCCGGTTCGATCGAACCCATTCGGATGGAATCGATCCGGATCCGAGTCGATCGAACCAATCCGGATCCGAGTCGATCGAACCCATTCGGATCGAACCCATCCGGATCCGAGTCGATCGAACCCATTCGGATCGAACCCATCCTTATCGAACCCATCCGGATCCGGATCGAACCCATCCGGATCCGGTTCGATCGAACCGATTCGGATGGAATCGATCCGGATCCGAGTCGGTCGAACCCATTTGGATCGAACCCACCCGGGTGCGGATCGATCGAACCCATCCGGATCCGGTTCGATCGAACCCATTCGGATGGAATCGATCCGGATCCGAGTCGATCGAACCAATCCGGATCCGAGTCGATCGAACCCATTCGTATCGAACCCATCCGGATCCGAGTCGATCGAACCCATCCTTATCGAACCCATCCGGATCCGGATCGATCGAACCCATCCGGATCCGGTTCGATCGAACCGATTCGGATGGAATCGATCCGGATCCGAGTCGATCGAACCCATTTGGATCGAACCCATCCGGATCCGGATTCACCGGCCCCATTCGTATCGAACCCATTCGGGTCCGGATCGATCGAACCATCAAGGTCAAAGCCTAGGCAGGGTATTCCTATGCCAATGGCCTGCATTGCGTTGGGTTACGATTGTTTGGGGCAATCAAGAACCGAAACCCAAGTGATGGGGAGTGGTAGAATGCCCCATCCCTAGAGTATTCCTAGGCCTATGACCTGGATTACGTTGGGTTACCGTCGTTTGGGGCAATCCGAAAACACATGGCCGAATGATGGGGAGAGGAAAAATACCACTTCCCTAGGGTATTCCTAGGCCTATGACCTGGATTACGTTGGGTTACCGTCGTTTGGGGCAATCCGAAAACACATGGCCGAATGATGGGGAGAGGAAAAATACCACTTCCCTAGGGTATTCCTAGGCCTATGACCTGGATTACGTTGGGTTACCGTCGTTTGGGGCAATCCGAAAAAATATGGCCGAATGATGGGGAGAGGAAAAATGCCACTTCCCTAGGGTATTCCTAGGCCTATGACCTGGATTACGTTGGGTTACCGTCGTTTGGGGCAATCCGAAAACACATGGCCGAATGATGGGGAGAGGAAAAATACCACTTCCCTAGGGTATTCCTAGGCCTATGGCCTGGATTACGTTGGGTTACCGTCGTTTGGGGCAATCCGAAAACATATGGCCAAATGATGGGGAGAGGAAAAATACCACTTCCCTAGGGTATTCCTAGGCCTATGACCTGGATTATGTTGGGTTACCGTCGTTTGGGGCAATCCGAAAACACATGGCCGAATGATGGGGAGAGGAAAAATACCCCTTTGCTGGGGTATTAATAGGCCTATGGCATGGATTACGTTGGGTTGCCATCGTTTGGGGCAACCTGTTTATGCGTTCATGGGATGCCAAGATTGACCCTTGGGACCCCCCAGCCGGGTCATTTGATCCCAAGGGCGGATTTGAACCGGCCCATGGGTTCATCCAATTCAAGAGCCCATCCCCGCTCGGCCATTCTGACCCCCCCAGCCGGTTCATTTGACCCCAAGGGCGGATTTGAACCGGCCCATGGGCTCATCCAACCCTTGGGCCCATCCCCCCTCGGTTTTTTTACCCCCCACCCGGTCCATTGGACCCCTAGGGCGGATCTGAACCGGCCCATGGGCTCATCCAACCCAAGATCCCATCCCCCCTCGGTTATTTGACCCCCCAGCCGGTCCATTGGACCCCAGGGGCGGATTTGAACCGGCCCATGGGTTCATCCAACCCAGGAGGATCCCATCCCCCCTCGGTTATTTGACCCCCCACCCGGTTCATTCGACCCCAAGGGCGGATTTGAACCGGCCCATGGGTTCATCCAATTCAAGAGCCCATCCCCCCTCGGTTTCTTTTACCCCCCAGCCGGTTCATTTGACCCCAAGGGCGGATTAGAACCGGCCCATGGGTTCATCCATCCCTTGGGACCACCCCCCCTCGGTTTTTTTTTACCCCCCGCCCGGTCCATTGGACCCCAGGGGCGGGTTTGAACCGGCCCATGGGTTCATCCAACCCAGGATCCCATCCCCCCTCGGTTATTTGACCCCCCCGCCGGTTCATTTGACCCCAAGGGCGGATTTGAACCGGCCCATGGTTTCATCCGACCCAAGAGCCCATTCCCCCTCTGTAATTCGACCCCCCAGCCGGTTCATTCGACCCCAAGGGCGGATTTGAACCGGCCCATGGGTTCATCCAATTCAAGAGCCCATCCCCGCTCGGCCATTCTGACCCCCCCAGCCGGTTCATTTGACCCCAAGGGCGGATTTGAACCGGCCCATGGGCTCATCCAACCCTTGGGCCCATCCCCCCTCGGTTTTTTTACCCCCCACCCGGTCCATTGGACCCCTAGGGCGGATTTGAACCGGCCCATGGGCTCATCCAACCCAAGATCCCATCCCCCCTCGGTTATTTGACCCCCCAGCCGGTCCATTGGACCCCAGGGGCGGATTTGAACCGGCCCATGGGTTCATCCAACCCAGGAGGATCCCATCCCCCCTCGGTTATTTGACCCCCCACCCGGTTCATTCGACCCCAAGGGCGGATTTGAACCGGCCCATGGGTTCATCCAATTCAAGAGCCCATCCCCCCTCGGTTTCTTTTACCCCCCAGCCGGTTCATTTGACCCCAAGGGCGGATTAGAACCGGCCCATGGGTTCATCCATCCCTTGGGACCACCCCCCCTCGGTTTTTTTTTACCCCCCGCCCGGTCCATTGGACCCCAGGGGCGGGTTTGAACCGGCCCATGGGTTCATCCAACCCAGGATCCCATCCCCCCTCGGTTATTTGACCCCCCCGCCGGTTCATTTGACCCCAAGGGCGGATTTGAACCGGCCCATGGTTTCATCCGACCCAAGAGCCCATTCCCCCTCTGTAATTCGACCCCCCAGCCGG